TCGGGCTGTACTCTATGATTTTGCTCTTGTTGATCTTATTCAAAGTCTTCTTGTCAGTGTTGTAGTTGATGAAATTCACCTGGGGTGGTAATATTCAAAACGGTGTGTCATATCATCCATTCCATTCGCCCTCTCCCCTCCCTTTTCTCTCCCTCCCCTCTGGCTGAATCCCCTGCCCTTTACCCCTGTCCCTCCCCTCTCCTTCTCCTCCTCCTCCTCCTCCTCCTCCCCATCACTCTTCCGTCTTTCCTACGGCTGTTCTCGGTCCCCTCACCCCTGATTAGGAAGAGGGGTGGGGAGTGGCCAATTATAACACGCGGTTTCACCTGCTTCACCAATGGCTCGAGGGCCCCCTGCAAGGCATCGAGATCATTGAACCGCGGACCCCTCTTGGGCGCCATATACCCGATCGAATCGAGCTTGAGCCAGAAAGGCCTCGAATTCGTCGTTCGTTTTTGCCCCATTCCTCCCTCCTCCTCCCCCCTCGCCCCATGTTTGTTGTTTCCTCGTTTCTCTTGCGTCCACAACTCATCGCGCTGCGGGCCCCACCGCCTCCGATCGGAAGGGAACACGATGTGCGCGGGCATCCTTGAGCAACAGTTATGGGAAGGAGCAACTACCAATACCCCGATCAAGGATGCACTTTGGAACCGAGCCACGGACAGCTGCATGTATAACAATCACGGCTACGTTGTATGTATACATATGAATAAATATAATACCTATGCATAAATTGTATTATGTTAAATTGAGCTTTTTTGTTGAATTGAGTTTTTTTTTGTCGAATTGAGCTTTTTTTGTTGAATTGAGCCAAAACGCGGGCTCAATAATATTGAGCCAAAGGACCTCTGGGCAGGGGCTTTCCCCGGAACCCGCTCTCTGCCCCCGGGACCGGCTCTCCTCTGGCGCGCCGGTCGCACCGCGCGGGCATGCAAAAGTTTAGGTTTATCGGCTGTCGTCCCCTCGCATTCCAGGACAGAGGCCCTTCGCCGGAGTGGCCTCCTCCGAGGCGGGAATGTATGCATGACCACCGCCTGGAGGATCAGTTTTCGGGGACCTCGGCAGGCGGTGGACCTGGACGTATTCGGGCCCCTGGGGGCCAAAATATATCCACATCCGCCGCCCGCTGGGGCACCCGGGCGTTGGTTCCCGGGCGTTGGATATGGATAACTCCCTGCCTCGCACCGCTGGCGCGCAGCGCTTGGGGGGCGCGGGAAGGCTATATGGCAGGTTCGCGCCGCGCCGACCGGCGGCGGCCATGCCGCCAGCGTTCCCGGTTGGACGCCGTCGGCGAGCCAGAATCGGTTGGTTTTTGAACGATTTGACGTTTCGGAAACGGCCGATCGTTCGAGGCTTGAGCGACCTCCGCAGTGTCAGGAACCAGCGCCGGGATCGTCACGACACTCTAGGCCTCCCAGATGGGGTCGGAGTAGGTGGGGTCGGAGGATCGCGCCGCATCGCCGATGAATCGGCGATGCGGCTCGATGTGGGGCCCGATTTGCTTCACGCCGACGTCGCTGACGCATCGCCGACGTCGCCAGTGAGTGGCCGATGCATCGCCGATGCATCGGCGATGCGGCGAGATCCTCCGACCCCGTCTACTCGGAACCCATCTAGGAGGCCTCTAGCGTAGCGAACACAAATGCAACATCGTCAAGCATCCCGCCCGGAGCCCTCGCCCTAGACCTCTCTTCCTGCGTCATCTTTCGAGCCGGATCGATCTGTGAGGGTCCTGGGGCGCGAGCAAATGCGAACACGCCCAGCTCGAAGAAATCGAGGCGCCAGGACCTCAGGGGAGGCCGTGGCTCTTGGCCGCGACCCGTTGCTCGCGGGGTGCCAGGAGCCAACGCCAGGGTCGTCACGGCACAGCAGGGCTGGACCCAAACGCTGTTTTGCTGGACTTCGGCTGTGTTATGTTTTTCGTTCTGTCAGGGAGGTACAGGTAGAGCAAAACGAGAAACGAAGCGCAAACAACGCGAAAAACAACGCTTGGGCCCAGCCCTGCGGCACGGGCCTGTCGTGCTGCCACACCGCACTCATCTGTCGTCAGGTCGCGCACCAGAGGTCGCCCCACCATAGGCCGCTCCTGCCTGGGGCAACTCCCATGCTTTGTTGTTTGCTTGTTTTTTTTGTTACTGTGGAGGCCCATGCCTAGAAAACACCCTGCTTGACTCCAGGGTGCCCAGAGTTTCTTGGGTTTCGATGGTTTTGCGATGGAAAGCGTATTGTCCCCACACCAAACATCGATGGACTTCCTGGGGTCTCAGCGTTGGGTTTCTTGTGGAAGGTTTCTTGCGGTCGGGCCTCCACTGTTACCGCGTTTTTGTAGGTCTTGTCTTGGGTCTGGCTTTGGTGCTTGGTCAGTGCGTGGCGCCAGAGCGCTGGACCGCTTTTCCCCAGGGCCAGTTGCCGCTCTGGATCCGCTCCTCCCGAGTCGCAGCTCGCACGGGGGGTTTAATACATATGTAGGTAAGGTCAGACCACCGCTGAGTCCCACGTGGGGGGACGGGGAACCGGAAGCCGCCCGGTCTGGAAGCGATTTGGCAGCCGTTTCGCTTGAGACTTCCTCGCAATATATATTCGGGAACCGTGCTGCCGCTTCACTGCCGGTTGCATTTTTGGCCGCGGTCCCTGGTCAAAAGCTGCTAGGATACGTATATGGCCGTGGTCTCACCCTTGTCCCCTACAGTCAACCTCCTGCTTTTCGACCCGCCTTGTCTCACCTTTGCTGTCATCAGGGCGCTGCGCTAGGGCAATGTGACGACCCTGGGGCCCAGAATTGGGTGTTGTTAGAAGTGCCCCTAACCCGAGGTGCACCCAGCACTTCAAGGATGCCCCCACGGCCTTCAGGGCCCCCCCCTCTCAAGGCCCCGAGGGCCCCAGGGGCTCCAACATAGAGCGAAGAGCCGGGGGCACCCTGGGCCGGAGGCGCCTCCTGCATGGCCCCCCCCCCCGGCGGAGGCGGCAGGGCCGCGAGCCAGGAAGCGCCGCCGGGCCCGCACCGAAGCCTCGTCGCCGGGAAGCGGCCGGGCCCCCGGACGGCCCTTGCAGGCGACGCCTCCGAGAGGGCCCCCCGAGAGGGCTCCAAGGGTGGCCCCAGGGGCGCTCAGGGCGGCCCAGCAGGGCCGACAGCGAGGAGGAGCCGCCGGGCCGGAGCCGAAGCCTCGCCGCTACAGCTGCCCGGGCGTGCGGCGGGCCGCCCGCCGCCCGCCGCTCCCCAACGGCCCGCAGGAGGGCGGCGGGCGGCGTGCGCGCGGCGGCCCGCCCGAGTCTCTGCCCCCTGCGGGGGCCCGCGGGAGCCTGCGAGGCGTCGGGGGGGCCTCGGGGCGGGGGTCGAGGCCTCGACCCCGAGCACCGATGGGGGGGGGGCGGGGGCGCCGGCCTCCCGCCGAGAGGGTCGGATCGAGGAGGGAGGCGGAGGGGCGAGGAGGATGGCGGCGTGTACTTGTGCGTTCCGGAGCTCCTGCGCAGCGTGTCGCCGTGGTGGCCCACGGGGGTCGGCCAGAGCGCAGGATCTTGCAGGATCCTGCAGAGTCAGGGCTGCCCTGACGCGGGTCAGGGCACGGGCTCCTGCAGGGTCCTGCAGGCTCCTGCAGGCTCCTGCAGTGTCCTGCAGGGGCCTGACTGACCCGCGCTTGCATTGACCCGGGTCAGTAGATCCCCGAAGCTGACGATCTGACTGTATACACGCTGGTCGTTAAGAGTAAGGAGTTTTGGACTCCCAGATCCCCTGCCTACCTCAAGCGCCTTCCTACCTCAAGAACGGATAGGTATCTGTCGGGTTCTGTTGTTACGATGACTTGGGCGGGCCGGAACCCACTCATGTACTTCGTGTTCCACGTACTTCTGACTGGCGGGCGCGCGGGACCGGCCATCATCTTCTTTTTTTTGTCGTTCTTGCACGCCCCTGCGTGCTCCAGGTGCGCTCGCCCAGCCACCGCGCTCGGAGAGTGGCCACTCTGCACCTCTGCTCTGCCCGCGCGTCCCTAGGGGTGGTTGGCTTCGCGTGCGCGTGCGTGGCCCAGGAGCGGCGGGGCCGAGCTCGAGGGACAGCCGCCGGGCTCAGGGGGAGGGGGAGGCAACACCGGGCCCCGCCCAGTGCTCGCGCAAGGCGTTGAAAACGGAGGAGGAGGAGGAGGAGGAGGAGGAGGAGGAGGAGGAGGAAGAGGAGAAGGAGAAGGAGAAGGAGGAGGAGGAGGAGGAGGAGGAGGAGGAGGAGGAGGAGGAGGAGGAGGAGGAGGAGGAGGATACCTGACGTTCACGTTTTTGGGCCCCTCGTGGATGCCTCGTCGCCGCGGCGTCCGAGACCTCGGCGTGTAGCCGGGTTTGAACAGGGCCTCGGCGGCGAGCCCGCGGGCAGGCGGGCAGGCCCTCTCAGCAGGCCGCGGGGCCTCTCGGAGCCCCCCGCGCCCTTTGAGAAGCCGCCCGCGTCTTCGCAGAAGGGTTATGTCGGGCGTGTCCCCCTACAGGGGGATTTTTGACGAAGAACAAGACATACTCCCAAAATGCACCAAAAAGGTCAGCAAATGTTAACAAAAATCGTCCCCGGACTATTTTTTGTTTTTTTTTCGATTATTTTGGAGGGTATTTCTTATTTTTCGTGGAAAATCCCCCTGTAGGGGAACAGGCCCGACTTAACAGAAGGGTGGCAAGACTCCTCAGAGGGCGCGGGGGCTCCTGAGAGGCCCCGCCGCCTTCTGAGCAGGACTGCCCCCCTCCCCAGACATGCGACGCCCTGATTGGTTCAGTGCAGCGTCCCCAGAAGTCCCGACCCTTCCCCCTGGACCCGTTTCTTACCCTGCGTCGCTTCTTGGCGGTCCCGGGGCCCAGCGAGGGCCTCCAGAGGCCGAAAGCGGCGAAACATCTCCGTCCTGATTTTTCAGCGACGCGAGGACGTCTGGGTCTCACGCCTTCTCCCCCGGGCTTGCCGCCGAGAACCACGTGGCCGGACGCCTGGGCGTGCCGCCGGCCGCTTCTTCTGGCCTCCCTTGCCTGCGCAGGCGGCGCACACGGCGGCCCGCATCGGCGCCGGGAGCTCCTCCTCGACCGCCGGCCTGGCCGGCGTGAAGCTGGGCCCAGGCCTGCAGCCGGACCTGCCCCAGGGGCAGGTCCTCGGCCGTCTCGGGGGGGGGGGCCCAACGCATTGAAAAAATGACGACGGAGGTTTTTCGCAATTTTCAGTCTCTAGGGGCCCTTACTGGGCCTCGGGACCGGCAAAAAACGACTCAGGATGAAAATCCGGTGCTGGGGAATGGGTCGAGACTTCCGGGCGCCCCGCATTGAAGAACTTACGGTATCGGATCTCCGGGGGGGGGGGGGGGGGCGGGGGGGGCAGTCTGGGTCGGCCACGTGCAGAGGGGGTCAGGGGGAGGGGGGGGGGAGGCTTCTGAGAAGCACCCCCTGCTTCTCGGAGGGCGTGGGCCTTGTCTTTGGAGGCAAGGGCCGGGGCCTTCTGAGCAGCAGGCCTCCGTCGGAGAAGCCCTTCCCCCCTCCCCCTGCGCCCCCCCTCCTGCGCGCCGCCCGCGGGGCCTCCCAGGCGGGGCCACGAGCAGACCCGGCCACGCGCAGAGGGCCGGTCAGAGGGCCCGCTTGCCTCATCCCGGCCAGGGGGGGAAGGACGCGTCGGCCTCCAAAAACGCCCCAGCGTCACCTCTGCACGAACGGAATGGGCACAGCCACGGGGTCCGAGCAGACCCAGCCACGCGCAGAGGGCCGGTCCAGGGCCCGCTTGCCTCCTCCCGGCCAGGGGGGGGAAGGGCGCGTCGGCCTCCAAACGCCCCAGCAGCGCCTCTGCACGAACGACATGGGTACAGTGCCCAACAGCAGTTCCTACTCCTTTGGGCCAGGGCTCGCTGTCCGCGCCGCCGCGGCCTGTGTCCGTTTGAGACAGAAGGCCGCTTGCCCAACAGCGGCCGCTGTTGGTGTTTGGTACAGCATTTGCTGTTGGGCATTGTACCCATTCTTTCCTTTCCGTACCCATTTCGGGCGTCCAAAAGAGGGGGATGGACGTATCGGCCCCGAAACGGCCCAGCATCATCGATGGGGGCCTGCGGTGCCCCGACGCGCCCAGCAGCGGCGGGGCGTCCGCGTCCAGGACGGATGGCCTGTCTCGGCCACGCGCAGAGGGAGGGGGATGGCTTCTTTGAAGCACCCTTGCTTCTCAGAAGGCGCGGGACTTCGGGCCTCATCTATAGATGTGGGGCCGGCGCCTTCTAATGAGCAGCCTCCTTCTAAGAAACCTTCCCCCCTCCCTCCACCCCCGTGAGCGCGCCCAAGATGGGGTCGGAGGGTCGCGCCGCATCGTCGATGCGTCGGCGATGCGGCTCGATGTGGAGCCCGATCCCGATTTTCTCCACGCCGATGGCGTCGATGCATCGCCGACGTCGCCGATGCATCGCTGGCGTCGCCGACGTCGCCGGCGAGACCCTCCGACCCCTCCGACTCGGGACCCATCTAGGAGGCCTCTATACATGGAGTGGCGGGATCGGGGGTTGCAGTAAATGGGGCGCTAAACCCTGAGATCCGACGTTGCGAAACAACTGCAACATCGCAAGAGGTCACGACCAGAGCCCTAAGCCCCATCTTTCCGAGGCATCTTGCGAAAGCGGGCGAAAACGCCCGGTGTGAACGAATCGCAACGCCCGGCTCTAAGGGAAGCCCACCCCTCCTGGGGCCCCGAAGAAGCCCGACAGGTGCACGTTCCTGCCCCCCCCCGCTCCCAGACTCCCGACGTCATGCTTTTTCCGTCGCGTCGACCCCCAGAGGTCTCGACCCCTCCCCCGGGGCCCGTTTGTCGTCCCGCGAGTGGTTTTCTCGACAGTCCCGAGGGCCGGCAGGGGCCTCACTGAGGCCGAACCAAAAAGGAGAAGCCCCTCGTCGTGTTCCCGGAGAGGGCGCTGGCTCTCGGCATGGTACATCAAGATCGATACACTCAGGAGGAGGAGGGGGAGGAGGAGGAGGAGGAGGAGGAGGAGGAGGAGGAGGAGGAGGAGGAGGAGCTTGAGGGCCCGATCGGGTGTCTTTTTGAAACGCTGCCATGCCTCACACTCCCCACATTCCTTTCCGGGTCCGTGGGCCGACCATCTCTGCTTCCTTCCCAGACCCCCGACGTCATGATTTTTTCATGACGCGACCCCCAGAGGTCCCGACCCATTCCCTGGGACCGGTTTTTCGTCCTGAGTCGTTTTTTGACGGTCCCGAGGCCCGGCGAGGGCCCCCGGAGGCTGAAAATGAGGAAAAACCTCCCGTCGTGATTTTTTCACGACGCGAGGATGTCTGGGTTGCCCGCTGGGGTCTGGGCCTGCTGCTCCCCGACGGAGCGCCGCCCGAGGTCCCCGTGCCGCCGAGCACCACCGGCCCGCCGCCCCGGCCGCCGGCTCGCGGCGCCACGCCGCAGGCCGTGCGGGCGCAGGAAGGGCACGGCGGTCCCAGAGCTCGCCGACGAGTCGGGGCTCGAGAGATGGGGGGCGGCCAAGAGCCCAGACCCCCTCGAGCAATGAAAAAATCATGACGGGAGGTTTTTCCTAATTTTCGGCCTCCGGGGGCCCTCGCCGGGCCTCGGGAGCGTCAAAAACGGCTCAGGATGACAAACCGGTCCTGGGGAAGGGGTCGAGAACTCTGGAGTCGACGTGATGAAAAAATCATTACGTCGGGGGTCTGGGAGGGGGGTGAGGACTAGGGGGGGGGAGGGGATGTCATGGCGGGGGCCACGATGTCTCCCCAGATTTCGTGGCGGATGTCATGGCGGGGGCCACGATGTCTCCCCAGATTTCGTGGCGCCCCTTCTTGCCTCCTTACGTCCCTGGCCCCCCCCTTGTGCCGCGCACATGCCGCTGGCCATGATTTGCGCCCCCCCCCCCGCTCTTGGATGCCCCCCTCTTGGACGCCCCCGAAGCAGACGGGGTTCAATGCAAGCGGGGCTCAGTCAGAGCGCTGGATCTTGCAGGATCCTGCAGGGCAAGGGTCATGATGTTCCAAGTTACTGTAGCCTTGATCACCCGAAATGATGTCGAGCTCCGAGGAAGTATCGAAACTGGATGGTTTTCACGTGCCGGCCCTGGGAGGCGCTATACTCGTTCAGCGCTTCGCCAGCGTGTCGGGCAGACAATGCTTCGATCATTTTCTGGGTGCTCGGAGTCATTTCTGGACTGTACTCCTTACTCGGGGGCGGCAAAGAGGGGGGTGAGGACTAGGGGGGGATGGATATCATGGCGGGGGCCATGATATTTCCACAGATTTCAGGGCGCCTCTTCTTATTTCATTACGTCCCTGGACCCCCCCAAGGGCCGCGCACATGCCGCCGGCCATGATTTGCACCCCCCCTCTTGGACACCCCCTTCTTGGCCGCCCCCGACTTACGTACGATGGGAACACCATTAAGCCAGGGTTGCTTCGGTGCAGGATCCTGCAGGATCCTGCAGGGTCTTGCAGGATCTTGCAGGGCCTGACTGGCCCGGGTTTGGATGGACCCAGGTCAGTGTCAGTAGATCCCCGAACGAGTGGGGGGCGGCGCCAGGGCCATGATGTCTCCCCAGATTTCAGGGCGCACCTTCTGGTTTCAGCACGTCCCCTGGCTCCCCCCTGCCTGCGCCGCGCACGTGCCTCGGGCCACGACTCGCGAACCCCCTTTCTGGACGCCCCCCTCTTGGAGGCCCCTGGGCGATGTGTGCTCTGTTCCACCTGTGCGCTTGTTCTCAGGAGAAGAAAAAAACACACAGACAGAATTAATCCTCGATTCCCCAGAAAGTATGGGAAAATATGGGAAGTGGGGGGAAGACAGAAATCCAGAAAATATGGGAACATAGGGGGAATCAGTCTCTTTGTGTGTATTCATTTGTGTGTCCCAGGGCTCTTCATGTTCCCAGATTTCGACCCCCGGGGGCCGCTTCCGGTCCCCAGGGCAATCGAACATGGATCCGGGACGAAGAACGGCCCTGCGGCCGCGGACTGCAGCACTCGCATGGGCGGGCGTCGGGGCATACTGCGATCCGCAGCTTCCGCGCCTGCGGCTGGCCTTTGACTCCCACTGACTGCTCAACGTCATTCTTGACGCTTCGCGAATCATTCCTGACGCCGCAGGGCGTATACATAGAATTTTCTGGCATTTTGTCAGACTGCACGTTGCCCGAGCTTCCCTGGGTGCCCTCTGCCTGTCAGCCTCACCACGCGGCTCAGCAGCTGCTTTGTGAGCTGGCCCGATCGGCCTGCTGCGCGCCTAGTAGCTAATTAGGCCTGTTTCCGCGCCCTGGACAGCTTCTGACTCCGCCTGCGCTTTCGCTCGCGGACGCGACCGAAAAGAATCCCCACCAGCGATACGGGTGGGCCTCGCGCCACGGCCATCCACCGTCGCTTCTGGATTCGCTTGCTCGTCTTCCCGCCCGGCACCCACACCGTGGTTCTGGTGCTGCTCCACCCCATCGCGCCTTCTTGGCCACGCTGAGTTCCGCCTCGCCCTGGCGTGCTCGCCGCCCTGTTTTTTCCTTCGCAGGTGGCATAGCCTGCCCCTCCTTGCCTGGCGTCCGACTCGCAACGTGCGCCTGCGTGCCCAAAAGTATCCCCACCAGCCCATCCAGAAACGATGCCCAGGCGAGTTGCCTCTCAGAGTCTCCTCCGATGTCAGTTGGAAGCCTTTGTAGGCCTCTTGGAGCGTCTTGGGGGCCTCTTGATGGTCCCGGGGGATTTTGGTCCCCACTGACTGTTCAATATAATTTGCGCATCTGCGCCTGCGGCGTTTCTTTTTTCTCCACCCTTCAAATGTATTCGAACGGCGTGAAAAACCTGCGCCTGCGGCGGCAGGATTTGGGCACCGACGGCTGGCTTGTGATAGAATGTTTTTTACAGACTTTTCGAGAAACAACGCCTGCGGCGCTTCCGCGCCGAGCTCTGATCAGCCTCTCACTCCTCCCCGCATCCGCGGGGGCTGTGGTAGAATCGTGTGTGTGTGTGTGTGTGTGTGCACTCCGGCTTCCCTGTGGGACGCAGCCTGAGCCAATTGCATCATGGCACCACGTCGCGCCCCAGCAGGTGAGCGACGGTAGGAAACGGGTTCGTCTTGGCCGACATTGGCGCGTAAGCTTCCGCGCGAGGTCGCGCGTAAGCGCCCTCGTTTCCAAGGTGGCGTGCCGCACTATGGGCCAGCGTAAGTCACCTCGTAAGGTCGCTATGCAATCTCGCGTACAACCCGTTTCACGTAAGATCGCAATGCCATTTCTCTATGCCATTTCGTCGCTCAGGTGCTGCTGAAGCTGCCCATCGCCCCCCTGCAGGTGGGAGACGTGGCGGCGCTCGAGGAGGACCTCCTGCGCGCGCTGGCCAGCGACGCCGGGGTGCGGCGCGAGCGCTTGAAGATCCCAGAGGCGCGCGCCAGCTCACTGGCAACGTTCGGGGGGGATGGGCTCAGGGGGTATATGATTCGAGGTTCGAGGTTCGAGATTTGAGGTTTTCGGCTGTGCTCGTCGGTCTTCCGCGGTTTTTTCCAGCCTCGGGATGCCTTCCAGCAGCTGCGTCTCGCCCAGTGCGTTCCGGGGGTGCCCAGATCGTCCCGAGCGGCCGCTGGAGGCCCGAGTTTTGTCCCGAAAGCCCTCAGGGGATGGTCTCTGGGAGGGAGCGATTCGACCTCCAGGAATGGGTTCGTTCGCTGAAAAGGCGGCAGTTCATGGAGGGTTCGTAGATCTGCGAACACGTTGCGCTTCCCTCCTAGACTCGACGGGCACAACGAGTTCGGGGTGCATCTCTCCTGCAGGCGCTCTCCCGCTCGAGGCCGGGGGGATCCCCGCGCCTCCTGGAGCCGAGTGCGACCCCGCGAGCCTATCCCTCCCAAAACGTTGCCCCTGACCAGCGTCCTGGACGGGGACGAGGCTAGGGGAACGAAAAGTGGCATAAGCATCTAAAAAACTCGGAGCTCCGCGCGGAGTTTTTGGATCCGCGCGGGACCCCCCCCACTCCCTGGCGCGCGGTGCGCGCCAGGGGCGGCGCCGGAGGCGCCGCCAGGGGGCCCCAGCGCCGATCCGAGAGATCCGCGCGGACCTCCGAGTTTTTCTGTTTATGCCATTCGTTTCGCTCCCCTGGAGGTGGCCGCCGCAGCCCGCGCCCCGCCCGGGCTGCTGCAGCGCCGCGGCCCGGCGGCGTGA